ATGAAGCCCTCCCTGGTAAAACTGTCATGAGGACAGATCAAGAAATCCTTAACATGTTCACAACTTGAGTAAACTTTAAACAGAGTTTTGTCTGCCTCTAAGTCCTTGGTTTCCTTTTTCTTAGAACATATACTTTAGAAAATTGGAAATTATAAATTATATCTTTGGATCTTTGAGATACAAACCTTTTCCCAGCCTCTTGTCAATCGACAACCCAAAAATATCTTTCTCAAATGACCTACAAGCCCTATCTTTGAAACATAATAAAGAATGTAACTTATGTTAATAATATCACTCAAGAATATCATGAAGAAAGATAGGGCCCCTATCTTCTAGTCTCTTTGGATCTTTAGATCTATGCCAATTACCAAGCACAGATGACCTAATTACTTCAACCCTAAGATTCCTCAGTACTTTTTCACTAACTCACCCCAATGTTTAAATCTCTCATATCTTTTGTTTTACAGAGTTCAGTTCCATCTTATTGCCTTGTTGAAGTAGTCTCTCTCCCATATTGCAATAGTTGTGAATAAATTCTTCCTTGCCTGTTTAAAATTCCTGATTCAGTGGAATTTTTCTTTAACATAGACAAGTTAAGGGAATAACAATAGCCAGGTGAAAGAGTGCTGTAGATTCTTGCTATTCTTACCATTTTGCCAGCATTCCATGAATAAATTTTACTCAATTTATTGTTTGCCTCTGGTTGATTTCCAGAGCATTGAATCTTTGTTTTTGACAATTTGTCCAGTGTTTTATATATATATTTAATGGGAGGAGCAGTTACTAACCTTTGCATTTTGCTAAAGCTACCTTACAATATTTTCACAGTTCTGAATTTAAACATTATTGCTAGATGTTCAGAGCAGCATTTTTCTGAGCACAAATCTTTTATAAAAAAGAAAAATCTGTTTCCACTGATGATATTTTATTTTGTTTGACTAGAAAAAAGGTAATTTTCTGTTTTCTTTTTATTTTGTTTGATGAAACATTTCTTTCAGGATAGGTTAAACATTTTTTTTCTTTTTAAATTTTTTTCATTACTTTTTCTTTCAATGTGTTGGTCAGATTTTTTTAACAGCTAGCTGAATTCTATTCACTGATTGTGTCTTGTTGATGAGAGTATTTATACTTCCAAAAGGAAATAGCCAAGCAAGTTGGCAAAGTGTGACTTTTTGTTTTTAACTTTCACTCATCCAGTTGGGTGTGCTAATTCATCAAATGCCACAAGCGGAAAAGTGTTACATAGATAATCGTATTTTTACAGATCTTTTGTCTCTTTATGAGTAAAATCTACTTTCTACCATGCATCTTCTTTGACATTTGTGAAGGCAGATTATACAAACATCATACTGGTGAATAAACCACCCCCACGTTCCTTTGGGTATCTTCACTATTAGCCATTTAAGCACAGTGATTTATTTTACATTCCAAAATTTAATCTTCCTGAGTGATTTCAATTTAATAATTCATATTTGTCTGCTTCAAAAATTTTGACCTACTTTTCTAAAACTATTTTTGTTCATTTTATCAGTATCTTTCCCAACATACATATTTTCTATAGTTTGTATTTGGATAAATAATACTTAAATACAAAACACATATATGTTCAATATTGCATGTTTGGAATTGGGGATAACTGGTCTGGAGGTAGGCTATAATTTCTCCTACTCTTTATGAGAATGAAGCTGAGACACAAAGAATTTAAGTTAAAATTTAGTAATAGTTTTAGCTAATATTTATCACTTAGCTGCATACCAAATACTGTAATGCTTCAATTTAATGAGTTACTTTTTACCATTTTACAGCAGGTACCATGGTTATTATTACCATTACATAAGCAGAAGAGTTTTAGAAACTCTCAAGATTATAGGTAATAAAAAGTTAACAGTGTTCTCTCATGTCTAGCCTGTGTCAGGTGCTTTTCCAAGATCTTCGTATGCTTGGCAGATTAAAGTAACACACTCAGAACTGTCACATAAAATCCAATAAGTATTGCAATTTTTCACTTCATAGTACAGATGAGTAAACTGAAGTATTCAGATATTATACTACTCGTTCCCTTTTCTAGAGTTGGTAAAATTATCAGTCTGAGATTAGAGCCCTACATCCCATTGCTTTAAAAACAGTGGGAGCTTGTTTTGGAATTCTGGTTGCTTGGAACCTGATTGTATGCATTATTACTACATTTTACTGCTTTGCAGTCAAGTAGCACCTTGGGTTTTGGTGAATTATTGAAGTTTCAGATTATAAGAAACTTCACAAGTGGCTGTCTTAGAAAAAGATCTATTTTACAAGTATTGAAAAATCCTCTCCAGAATATCAACAAGTTTTATTTATTTATTTTTTGTTCAGGCTTTGTTTGAGAAATTCTGATAGAGGATATACCAAGTAAATACTTATTGTGTTTTGAGTTTGAGGTAATATTATTAGAAAGTATTTTATTCTGTTATGGAGAAGTGTAGGGGCTTATAAATGCAAGAAAAATCTCTTGAGCCTGAATTGGTCTTCTAAAGTCACAAGATACAAATGTAATTTCTTTTCCCCAATATAGCTGTTTAAATATATAAAACAAAGCCTTTAAGGAATCTTCTCTAGTTTTAAGTTTGTTAAGCTATGCCACATGTAATATGACTTTGAGCTCCCTTTCCATCCTATAGTCTCTACCACAAATGCATTTGTAAAAGTGTCTCATAAAACATGAAGTATAATACATAACATTTCAGCTATGTTATGAACAGTGTTGAATAGACTAGGCTAAAATTTTCCATTTCATTCCAAGAAATAGTACAGCATAATGGTTGAAAAGATGTCTGCTGAAATCAGCCAGCTAGTTTTGATTTCTGTTCCCAGTTTTTATAACCACATTACTTGGAACACATTTTCTGAGCTCTCTCTGACTCAGTCTCCTTCTTAGTCAACAGAAATAATAATTATGTCTAATTTGTCAAATTGATAGGAAGACTATGTATGATCATGGGTTTCAACATTTAGAAGACTGCTTGTTACACAGGGGGAGATCAGAAACTATATATAACATTATTTAAAATTCCAGGCATATTCAAGGCCTACTGTGTACAGACATCGATATTGTAAAGAAGGAAAGGTATAGCCTTCAGGCCCAAGACATTTTCATTTAAAATTCTAGACTTTATATTTCTCATGATCCGTGATTGCACATGATTTTAGACAATCATTAATCATGTCACACTGTGGACTTCTGGTTAGATAATAGAGAAAATCCTTGAGGCATCTTTTCTATCTATTGCATCCTAATTTATGATATCCAGTTATACTTTATAGAATCTGTGTTCTCCAGAGATGCTGGTTTTCTGTCCAAGCTCCATGTCATGTGTGCCCATGAGAAGGCTTCAGTGGTATTATCCAGGTCACTGATGAAATGTGAAGTAGAAGAGAATCCTAGACGGAGCCTGCAGCAACACATTAGATGGCTCGCTCCCTTTGAGGAGTCATTCACACACTTAGAAATCAACTTAGTATTCACACTCAGAATATTTCTTAATTTTCTTAATAAGGACAGGAGGAGACTTTTTTTTAGGAGGCTTATTTAAATCCAAGTGTCTGTCATCAATTTAAATAGTGTTACCTGCTTGGTAATCCCAATTATGTTTTTAGAAGGGAAGAAGAAATAAGCTTAGTTGAGTGCAATTGTTCTCAGAAAACCTGTGCTGATTCTTAATAATTACTGTCTTCTTCCATAAGGGCTCTCAGAAATCATTTGAAGAATCACTTATATACTCTGGGCATTAATAGTAATATGTCTTTTGTACTTTCAGATATATTTCTGTTTCTTTTTGAAAGCTAAGACTTTATTTTTCTGTCTCCAATCTTGTGTCCACTGTTAACTGCCTAGACAGATAATGATGGCTTAGAAATCTCATTTACAAATTCTCTGAGGCTTGAGGTTTAATTTTTTAGGATCTAAGCACTTGAAGCCTTTGCAGATATCCCTTACAATCTCTCCATTTAGTTTGGTTTCAATTATTCTCGCCTCATAGTTTCCTAGCCCTCTCCAGTTGAAAATCCCTCTTGACAGAAGATGGAAAAAAAATCTGTTGTTGCACCACTGACCTCAAGTTGATTCCTTCCTTGGTATATTTCCGAAAAATAAATGTAACTTTGGTAGTTCTTTAATACCCTTTGCATTTATGTAACCTCTATGCTTTTGGACTTTAGTATTCCAGACCCTTCCTCTAGATTTATAACATTTGTATACTAGCCCAAGCAACCATCCTGTCTATGAATCAATGCTGATTCCCTGGTATGGGTGTAGATAACAGAAGAATGCATGCCTAGCATTCATGAGACCCTGGGTTTGTCCCTAGCTCTCAAAAAGATCAAACAAAATAACCAAACAAAATTCCAACCAAACCTGAACACACACACACACACACACACACACACACACACACACACACACATTATACTAGTTTATCTCATGTGAATTTTGTTTCCTGCATTTATCTCTCCACTTTTTTTCCATTTAAGAACAGTTTTTTTGTTTTGTTTTTCTTTTTGCACGCTGAGATTCTGATTTTGGAGTATCATCTTGCCCTTTTGAGATTTCTTTTCAATTAGTCTTGGATTCTGAAAAGAATTATCAGTCCTTCCTCCTACATTTTCTTGAAATCAGTCTCTGAACATGCATGTCAATATGTAACTTTTCCCCTAGTATTTCTCTCTTATAATGTTTCTATTATTTTGTACAGCTAAAGAAACCAATATGAGGCCAAGGAGCTTTGTTATAATTTATGCTTATCCTGGGCTTAAATGTTTGATTTTTAAGTATTAGATTTTTCACTTCTTTTTCTTCACCTTACTATGATCATACCTGGGTTATTTTCATGTATTTATTATGTCACTAAGATACTTTACCAACTCAAAGAGGTTTATTAGAAATACTCTCGAATATGGATTGAGATTTGTCTTCTGAATATGATCATGCTTTTAACTACTAATTTAAAATTTGGTCCACATTCTAGGAATAACACTGCACTAGTCTGTGCCATCCTTGTGATATGGACATGGAGCATGCTGCAGTTTCCACTTGACCTGGCAGGTAAATGGCTTCATATTTGTGCAGAGACCTGCGTGTGGTGGCACACACCTATAATCCCAGGGTTTGAGCAGCTGAGGCAAGAGAGGATCACCACAAATTTGAGGTCATATTGTGCTACAGAGTGGGTTCAAGGCCAGCCTGATATACATAGTGAGACTGTCTTCAAACCAAACAGCAGAGTCTCTTTGATGGAACCTGTGTCTTATAGTTTCATCTTCAATATTTGTGCAAAGAAATAGAAAATTACAACTCTTGATTACAAATTGTACTAAAGATAAAGAAGGAATTGAGGGGATTATCCTTTTGATATCTCCATTTTAGTACCAGTTCAGCTTAGAAGGAAAATAGACTGAAACTTAGGAAAGCTCTGACTGGATTCATTCTGGTGCAATGAACTTGAGATATTTGATGGGATAATATAGATTTGTGTTCACCTTAAACATTGGTTCAGCCACTTACGACCTGTGAAACTTCCTGAGAATTGTTAACATATCTGTGCCTCAGTTTTTTCACCCATGCAATGGGATGGAAATCACAATAGGTAGGGTTGATAATTCTTATTATGATTCAATAAGCTGCAGTTTGGAAAAGGCTTACTGAATTGTCCCCCCTCCCCTCCCCTCCCCTCCCCTACTCTTTTTCTCCTCCCCGCTCCAGTACCAGGGTTTGAATCTTGTACTTTCACACTGACCTACATCCCCAGGTTATTTAATTTTTATTTTGAGACAGTGTCTTACTAAATAGCTAAATTGTCCAGGCTGAGCTCCATTTTACAATCCTCTTTCCTTAGCCTCCCAATTCCCAATTCCTTAGCTGGAATTACAAGAGTGCACCAATACATCCAATGTCTGTTGATATTTATAAGGGATCATTTTCATTCCTTAATCAGACCATGTATTAAAGTAATAAGAACAGTTTCAGAGCCCCATATGGAAAATTAAATTTTTTTTCAGAAGTAGCCCTTGGAATCTCATTTGTTTTTACTTCAATAACAATATAAATCTTTAAAACTTTCAAAGAGGAAAACTGTTTCCTAAGAATTTCATACCCAGTGATGCTCTACAGCTGCACTGCCTAGTATAGTACCCACTAGCCACGTGTAACTTTTCAAATTTAAGTTAAAGCTAAATAAAGCTAAAGGCTCAAATCCTCAGTCACACCAGCCATGTGTGTGGGAAGTGCTCAGTTGCTATGGATGACTGCCATAGTTGATAGGAAAAATGTCATATTTTAATGACACACGTGTCACAGTGGGCTGTTTATATCATTGGATGCTCTAGAAGGTTACCATAGGTTCGTGATACTCTGGAATTTTGATTTGGGAATTTTCCTGGCTACCACTTTACTTTGATGAAATTTTGGAATTCAATTATTACATTTTTCTTGGTCTGGCTTACTTTTTCAGAATCTAAGTGCTGGCCTCAGGTTTAAAATTAATCCTTCGGACAGGGATATCTAACCTTTTTTTTCTATATCTTTTTTGTTTCACTTTGATAGGTTCAAAAATTTGAAACATCTTAGATCTTAGCATTCACTTTTTGAAACAAAATCGTCAATAGAAGAGACAGAAAGAGTTGCTGTGACTATTTCAAAATACCAAAAACCCAATTACTGGTTATAAACAAATATAAACCAATATTATATCACGGATTAGAAAATATATCATACTCATTAGCTAGCCAGCTGGTCTACCGATAAAATATTAGTTGGTAATTACTTTAAATATCAGTTTACACCTTTGGAGTCCTTTGTGAGCTATTTTATGACCCTGACTTCCTAGAAAAGGCAGTTACTAACCCTAAAATGCTTCTCTTCTGTCATTCACTCTGCTGATTCTCACCCTCTGGTATCTTGTGGTTTATTGCTTTGCTAAGAAAATTTTTATTTAAGAAAGAAATTTTGTAAATTTTGAGGGGTGATAATGTTGTGCAGCTGTTTGAGAAACAAAGACCAAATGTTACTTCTGACTAAGTCAGTATTGTATTATTTTCCAACAAACAGTACATTATGTTCACCCATATCAAAGCAGCTTCATAATATTTGTAGGCTCCAGTAAGAAGGCATTCTTTGTTTAAAAACTCCAAATGGAAGGCCTCATTATTATAAAAGGATTGTTTTCTGCCCCGACCTTGAATTAAATTTACATTTTAGAAATTTTTTAAAAGTTTTATCTGTTGATTAGACTTCCTTGTTGTTCAGCTGTAAAATCAGTAATCATAGCCAGTCTTTCTTATAAATTGTGAAACAAAAGCATAAGGAATTAGGGCAAGACAAATAACAAAGGCATTTATTTAGGGTTCCCTTCCCCACCAGTAGAAAAAAGAAACTTGACCTGAAGTGAATTTAAATTTGAATATAAGCATCTGGATTTACACAGCACAATTAGCAAGTGTGACTTAGTGAGTGAACCCCTACCGACTTTGATCCTAAAGAGTGTTATCTAGGACTAGCGGGGCCAAGTACCTGTAACTCCGTCTGCCACCCTTAGCAGTCAAGCCAGTCACCATTATCCCAAGGGGAGATTGGGAGGGAAATGGAGAGAAGGGCCGAGTTTTATCCTAACGGAACGAAAAGGAGCCAATGAACCAAGAGCCCACACCTCCTGGATATTTTTATCACCCTCTTCAAAAGAAAAACCTGAGTCCTAGAGCAGTTAAGTCACATGGCGTCTCCGTGCTCGATTTCAAGCACCTGGGCTCCCTAACTTGAGGCCTTCTGCCCATTTCTGTGCTGTCTTCCCACCCCACAGACCCCAAAAGGCACGGACATCTTCTTGATTATTTCTAATCTATTATCTGTGCCCTTCCCAGAGTGAGAACTACCTGAAATGGTTTAAGTGGATGGGAAGCGGGTGGCAAGGAGATGGGGGGAAGGTTTCACCTGTTCTACCCAGAACTAAACCACAGAACCACTTCCCACCACCAGTCACGATCAGGGCCGGCAAGGTTATGGACTTGGCCCGTCTCATCTGTGTCGCCTGTCTCCATCCAGACGGGAGAGTTAACTGGTCTGTCTGGCGCTTTCAGTGCAGCAGGTCGTGTGCCCCTCGTCTGTAGCAGCCCGGGGATTCCCCAGCCTGTTCTTCTGCCAGTACAGCTCTGACCTGTGGAACATCGGGATCAGCGTCTTCATCCAAGACGGCCCCTTCCTCACCCTGCGCCTCATCCTGATGACTCATTTCAGCGTCATCAATCAGATGCTCGTGTTCTTCGCCGTCAAGAATCTCCTCGTGGTGCTGCTGCACCTGTACCGCTTGGTGGTCCTGGCGTCGGCTTTCCGAGCCTCCCGGCGACGGCAGTCAGAAGGCCTCAAAGCGGAGCACGGCTGCCCGTGCGGACCCCCTGAGAGTGGACGAGGCCCTGGCGAGCGGGCGTCGCGGGCGGGTCTGGCTCTGTCCTTGCGAGCCTCTCCAGCCACCTCTGACGCCTCCCAGCCCGCGCCATAGTCATTTATTCCCCGCGGGACGCAGCTGAAAGGAGGAACTTTTCCCGCTCTTCGTACAGACTTTCTCTCTCTTTCTTCTTTCTTTCTCTTTCTTTCTTTCTTTCTTTCTTTCTTTCTTTCTTTCTTTCTTTCTTTCTTTCTTTCTTTCTTTCTTTCTTTCTTTCTTTCTTTCTTTCTTTCTTTCCCTCCCTCCCTCCCTCCTTCCTTCCTTCCTTCCTTTCTATCTTGGCATATAATAATTTTCAAAGAAACATCGTGGGAACATGACCATAAACTAAAGCCAAGGAATTTCCTTTCTTCAATGGAATGGAAGGAACTTTGATTAGTGGCGATGGCCACAACTTCTCCGGGACGGTATAAAGTATTATAGTCGTTCAAGGACTAAGTGACTTGTGTGCGCTGAACTGTTTGAAGAACCATGGACAAGGCTGCGGTGACAAGTCCTCAAAAGAGTCTGTGCGCACTGTCACAGCTGTTACCTGAAGATAGACGCTTTGAACTTGGGCTCCACTGTCTGACAGTCTCGTCTGATCTTTTCGGCCATCGAAAATGTACATTTAGCGAATGCAGGACAAATGAGGGAAAAGTGCCTTTACGATTTACCTCACTGGGGGCTGGTAGCAATGAACATGTCTGCTCAGCTTTCAGATCTCAGAGGCCCCGTGTTTAGCGCTGCATGGCCCTTCCCAGGAAAACCGCTTTTCTGGGCAGATGTGGTATTATGTCACGGTGCATATGCTCTTACAGGAATTTTATTGTTTTTGGCTTGGGTACTACAACACTCTCAGCAAGCCATTCAGTTACCTGTCTGTTGGTGGCAAGGCAGGAAACTGGCAAAATGCTAGCCCGGTCAGTCTCATTTTGATTATGATTTGCGGTGTTGGTCAACCCCACACTACTGTTTACTACACTGCCAAGTTGAATCACCCTGGCTGATGCAGGGACGCTCCGCAGCATGGACGAAGGTGCTCACGCCTTTCGAGGTTATCACTGTTTCTGGTGTTCGCCAGCAGCAGCAAACATAGGTGCTCCTGCTCCAAACAGGCTCCTCTGGTCTTGGGTCTTGGGCCAGGAGAACGGAGAACAGGTGAACCTCAATGAGGGATGGAGGCAGCCGGAGCCAGCCTCTGTATCATGGGAATCAGACAATGCGCTTCACCTCCGAGTTAAGACTTCATTTTCTCACAGTTCAAGTAGCCATTTTGTCCCCTTTACACACCTCAGTATTTTCCAGATGGAGGTGATTCAGAACTTTTTAAAGTGATTTTTGTTTTTAAAGACACAATGGAAGAACATACTAAGTTGTGTAACAGTGATCATATATGAAGCAAAGAGTTCCGAGACTATAAGGGTTCAAAGTATCGTTCTTCCTATGTCAGTATGCTCAGGAATTCAAAGGAGCACTTTCAGGCAGGAGTGCCTCTAATTGGTTGTGACCTGTCGTCAACCAATTTGGAACAGTTCTATCTATAAATTTCTGTGTAACATGACATCCATTCAAACATTTGATAGAAAAAAAGCTTTACAAATACATTCTGCTTTTACATTGAGTAATGTGTATTTTTCAATCTTTCTTTTCTTCCTATGCTTCTAATTTTAACAATGCAATATTGTAAAATTACATGAGTAGAATACATTTATAATTATACATAATAATTTTATGCAAGCTAAGATCAGGAAATTCTATTTATGTGAAATGAAGAACATGACAACTTTTAAGGGCATGTTATTTCAAATGCTTGGCAATGAAAAGCAAAGTAATAACTGTTATTTATAAAAATGCCTCCACAGAATCTGTTTTTAAATTGACTGCTTTGTGTTGACTCCTTTCTTCCACAACATGTATGTCCTGCTTATTACTGCAGATTTTCTCATGGTGTACTTTTCATGTTTTAATTTTTTTTTCTTCTAGCAAAACAAACACTGAGCCTCTATTTTTAGTATAAAGTAGTAAGGCTGTTGCAAGGATATTTTTAAGTGTTTTTAAATCTGAGACTTGGCTTGGGTTTGTGAATGAGTTTCTAGTGTTTAAGTAAAGTATTTTGTAATTAGCACTCCTCCAAAGGCCTGGGAAAGAAAAAGCCTGTTCAAAATCTGGCTTTATTTCGAATGCCAGGAAGTCAAGGAGCACCCACGACCATCTTGGTAATTAATGGCGATAAAAATAGACATATATTCTGTGAGGTTTTCCAGGGAAAACTGCTAAGGGCAACATTTTTTAATCTAACTGCCAGTACTTCCATTCTCTCAGACTGGCTGTTTTCATAGGTTTTTTTAAAAATCTGGTTTTGTTTAGTTTATTTCAAAAGAACCCTAAGTACAGCTTGGATCACTGATAAAAATTTATAAACATATTCAGTTAATTGTATATTTCTACTGTGGACAGCTAAACATTGTAATGTTTTAAAACATCCAAGCATTTGCTCTAAAGTGGTTAGAACACGAGTTATCTCCCGTATGTTGGCACCCTGGGACTTTCATTTTATTTGTAATAAGCCAAGTGATTCATATCATCTGTATAATGTGATATAGGCCATCACCTCTACCCCCACACCATCCCGCCCCCAGCTCGCAGACACAACACATGCTCATTTCCAACCAGTACAGAGAGGAGTTTATTTGTGGTTATTGGATCTGATTTTATTGTCATCATTCTTATTTTATCATTTGATTAAAACGCAATCAAATGTCATCCCTATATACACAGCACTCTATTTGTGAGAAAATACAGTGCAAATGTTTTAATGATACTGTATAGAAATACGTAGTATTTCTTGTGACTATCTTATGTGTTTCATTTGCTCTTATTAGATAAGCCTCAGGTGATATGACAACATGGTAAAATGAGAAAACCATTCTTATCTTTGGTTATTCTGTTAATTTTTAGTTAAGCTATGATAACATAAGAAAATAAAAACTTGAATGGATAAATAGCATTCATTCAAACCATCCAGCAAAGAGTTTCAGACAAATTCATCCACTGGATTGGCTGTACTTTCATTAGCCCTTAGTAGCTATATAGATATTGGCAAAAATTTTCAAGATATGTTATTGTCATATTAACCATCAACTCATGAATTAATAAAAAAATTTCAAAGCAATAAGATGCTCATGGTTTGGAATTTCCACCAGGTTTCAGAGTTGAGAATTGACTCTTTTTTTTTTAATCTTTGGCATTTAATAGTAATGAGTCTTAATCAGTTATTATATTAAAAGAGAAAAAGAATTCCAAAAGCCAGGCCTCTACTCTGCTCCAAAAATGGCTACTTAAAATATGCTACATAGCCTCAGAGATGCAACAGAAAAAGCAAACAATTTTAAATTTTGGAGAGAAAAAAAAGATTATTACTTTTCCTAATTTTACATTTGGCTTTTCACTTAGGGGATATACTGGTCTCTCTTGGAAATATCTAATAAGGTTAAACCAGGAAGCTAGAGGATGTTTACAGCTTTGAAACTTCAAATAACTTTCTGTATGATGGGAGCAACCAAAGAATATTTGAATAATTAACTGCTGCAGTCTTATACATAAGAGGTGCTTATTTTCTGAATCTGTCTTACTATAACACTATATAAGACTATTTTTAAAGTATTTGTATTTTGCTATAATTGACCTATGTATTTTATTGTATATATTAAATAGTGAAAAATTTTATCTCAATGTCTATTTTGTTGTCTATATTTCCTGTCTTTGTTCTCTACCGTAATTTTATTTCCTTTATGGTTTTTAACCTGTAACTTGAAAAATAAAACTGTTCTACTTAGAATATGATTAAAGTGGCATTTCAAGCCAGTGAGACAAGGATGACCAATTTTATAAATGATGTTGGGAAATTTTGCAATCCATCTGGAAAAAATAAAGTCAGATTATTATCTCATAATATATATAGAAATAAATTCCAGATGGATTAAAGATCTCAGTGCAAAATGAAAACTATAAATATTAGAAGAAAATGTGGAATGTGTCTTAAGAGTTTGGGGGTTGAGAAAGATCTTCTGAAGCAAGACATGAAACCCAGAAGCTAAAGAACAGATTAGCAGATTTTCCTATGTCATAATTTAACATTTCTGAATAGCAAAACGTATCATAAAGGTATCACCACTATTTTCTTTTCTGGAGAAAAAAATTAGTGAAATCAGACAAAAGAATTGAGAAGTACAGAAATTGAAAGAAGCTGCCAAATGCATCATTTATTCATAGAAGATTAGATTTCTTAGCATATTAAAGCTTAAATAACTACTAATAGTTAACCCGAAATAACACAAAAGTTATAATTTTTCTATATACAAATATAACAAAGTACATATTTGAAGAAGCTAGTTCTATAAACTAAAATTATAAAATACAGAATGAACTTAAATGTATAAGATCTATGAGAAGAAAGCTATAAAATGATTTTGAGAATCATACACAAATAATTTAATAAATAGATATTTTCTCTGCTTGGAAAGATATCCTGATATATTAAGAAGCACCAATTTCTCCAAATTGATCTATAAATGTAACACAATCTCCATAAGGCTATCAACAAGATACTAACTTTTAGTTACTACACAAGCAGATTCTAAAAATTTCATGCTAAAATAAACATGAAAGAAAGCTGGAAAAATAATAAAAGAAAGAAGAAAATGAGAGGGAGCTTTCAATATATTTAACTGTGTTATACAACTAAAATAACCAAGATAATTTAGTTGTAGCACATGAGCAGGCAAGCCAGAAGATGAGCATAATGAAGTTAATAAATAGTCTGAAAACTACTTAAGAGATTCCCATATACAATAAATCATAAGGCAGGGAGAGAGTATTATAAATAGTTTAGGTTTTGGAAAGTATTAAATTGGATTTCTACCTCAATCTTTATGTCCAAAACATTTCCAGATGGATCAAATAATTAAACAATAAATAAAAAAACAAACATAGCAAGCATTGATTTTACAACTGCAATGGTAAGAATGCTTTTTGAACAAGATATAAAACAAGAAAGCATAGAAGACTCATAAATTTTAGCTCATTGAATATTTTAGCATCATAAAAATGCTATACACAATTTCAAAAGTGGAACAATAAACTCAATAAAATATAACAATAGAACAACAAAGTAAA